CGGATTGACCCGATCCTTCAATCCGATACAACCGGAAGGACCGTTCTGCCCCATTACAACTGTCGTATGGCGGTACAGCGAGGAGCAGTAGAGGCGAAACACCTTCAATTAAGGGGGGGGGGGGGGCACTGCCGACTTTTGGTCCCATTCTTTCCATGCAACGCCCATAGGGCTTATGTTAAAATGCCAAAATCAAAGGGGGGCACAGTGCCCCGGTGCCCTCCACGTTCCGCCGCCTATGACGAGGAGCACCCCAGGTCACCGCCCACACCGCGTCTCGGAGTCTCCTTGTCTCTCACAGTCTCACATCCCATCAGATATTCGGCATCCGGGAGAGGTCACCGTCGCCGTGACCCGGACGACCTTTGACTGTGTTTAACGCTCAGAAGACACCAGCGGGGACTAAGGGGGACTGGGAGAGGATTCCCCGACGGAGGACATATGGGGGAGCCCGGCGTGGCGGGAGTTTTGGACAGTCCTGAGGTCACTCGGGGTGGGAGTCACTCGGGAGGAGTCACATTGGTCGGGCCGGTCACCTTGGGAAGATGGCATCAGTGAGAGGATAGAAGGCACTAAATGGGACTGGCCAGGATGTAGCGGGAATGGCCCGGGAGAGTAGGTACCTACATCAGTTGGGCAGATATGGCAGCTGCATTTATTCATGGAGCTGCCATATTCTTATCTCATCGCCGTAACAGTTCTGAGTTCTGACGGATACCTAGATGGACAAGCATGATAGCTGACCGACGATGGACCCAAGTTGGACATATTTTGGACGAAAATTTAGATGATTACGAATTAATATTCGATGGCTCATAATTGAATGACAATGGTTTGAATTGAAGAGGCTTACCAAAATGCAGCAGAAAATGATGAATTAGGTATGGAGCAAAATGGTTTCCGCCCACAAAAATATTGTTCACAAATCGCACCAACTGGCTCATCAGAAATTGGCGTCATATTAGGCACCTATATCGGCGTGCCCCGCGGTCACTCATCGAAATGGGGAAGGGGCGCTTCTGCTGTGGCGGTCCTAACTACTGGCTACTGCAACAGCTCACTGATATCCACTCTGGCTGAACTAACTGACTTCTGAGACAGTGTTTCCATCGCCACCTGAAACTGTACCTATCCGAAACGCCGACTGACGTTTACTTTTACGCCACAAATAGGTAGGTACTGGTAGGTATTTAGGCATTCACTTGCCAACACGAGCGCATCAATTAACCAGCTAAAGATCGGGAAAGCTGCGTATGGGCTTTTCCTCAGTTACACTTCTCGGAACGCTAACGCTGAACGCTGCCCGTTCCCGCAGCCCAGCCCTCGTCCGTCGGATGTCGCCTCACGTATTTCCGGTTACGTCCGCCTCCCCCCCCCCCCCATCACCGGACCTTGGAGCAGACGTACGCTCAATCTCCTCTCCCAGACGCCGACAAAAGATCGGACGTGTCCCCCGCTGAAAAACGGCAGCGCCATACGCACGCACAGTGCGCTGCGGGGTTTGCCGTCGGTCCGGAGGGGCGGATGGTGTGATGAAAGAGCTCCCGCCAGGTCGACGCGACGCTCTGCGGTGTGCGACTCAGAGCGACCCTGACCCGAAGAGGACCCGGAGCGGAACGGACGCTGCAGAGACGGTACACAGGGTAGCCGTCGGCCGCGGGATGCTGCCGGGGAGACGTCCACGCCACGAGCGGAAACGGAACCAGGAAACGGGCCATTGTTCTGTATACGCATTACGTATTCGCACGGTGTCACACGGCTCGGTCTCTCCAAGAGCCTGTCGACCGGGATGGGGCTGGTCTTGCAAGGTATCTTGAAGATGTGAAAAGTTGGCTAGAACATACCTATTTATCGCTATCCAAGAACAACTTGTCTTGTAAATTTGATGACTATCAACATTCAACGCCAAAATTGATTAAGACGGTAGCTTGAGGAAGAAACTTGGAATCGATGTCCGAAGCTAGGGTAACCAATTCATCAAGGAGAAATTGGGTTCGCGCACTGTCTGGTAGGTAATAATTACAGAGTAATAGTCGTTTTCAACTCACAATAGAACAACAACAAGCTTTGCGTTGATATCCATGCGTCAGTCCTAACCAAACGAGAGAGATTAGTATTGAGTACCTAGTACCCCGTCCGCCTCTATTGAGTTAGAGATTTGCTGGAATGCATTCTTTTCACCAAACGCTTGATGCCTGTTTAGAAGATACCAGCAACTTATCACCCAGTTGCCAGGCCAATGCGGTATTGATTCTCCAATGATTCAATGTTCCCGATGGTGATTAGTCCGATAAGTCACATAGTTCACAACCATCAGCGAAAAAAACTTAACAAAAGTGGTCACTATTGTGCGTCGACTTTGACAGAGCAATGGATCCCGTTTGAGTCAGGGCCTGGATCTCCTCGAGTCACGGGCTTGCATTTAACGAAATAAACAGCACAGAGGGACGATGGTTGACTTCCATTGCGGTCGAAACCACCACCACCAGTAACATTTTAAATGGTATTAGCAGTGCATAGCAAGTTATATCGATTATTCAAAGCTGTTTCTACACACCGGTATAAAATACTCCGCTTTAGGGTAAGACAAACGTACATTTGCATTCTATATTGTAGACCCCAAAGGTCAAACATTTTTCTTATTGTAAAGGAAAGTAGTTGGGCAAAAATCACACCAAACACTTCAGTACATATAATTATCATGAAAAGCAACAAATGTTCCATAAAACGGTTTCCATTACGCGTCAACAACTACGCTTTGTGTCCAACGTACGCAAACAACGTAACGCACACCAAACATTATTTTGACCTTGAAGAATCACAGCCATCGATCATATACAAAACATCTTAAATCATCATAAACAATCAATACGAATTAGCTGCCCAGGCGTATGAAAGATTAAAACTGGGTAACAGGCTCATTGACTGCACATTTTCCACAACATGACATGACTGACCCGGGATCAATCATAAAAAATGTCTACACCAGTCAGCATTCACTGCTGAGTAGACGGTGGTGTGAGGAGCTGGCCGGTAGTAGGTGATGCGGGCGACACGAGCTCAACGGGTGTCACCGGCAGCAGCGCCGCCACCTCTATACCTCCAGTGCAGGGGGCGCCGCCGGGCCGGCCTCCAGCGCGGGGCGCTACAGGACAGGGCGCAGACAGCGGCACCGCCGGAACCACCGCCTCCGACCCGTCCGTCGGCCGTAACTCCACGTGCAGCTGCATGTGTGAGCGCACGTGCGACCTCTGCGAGAACCGCTTCTCACAGAGAGGACACGAAAACGGTCGCTCGCCTGTGTGCGAGCGCATGTGAACCTTCAGCTTGTGCTGCGTCGGGAAGCCCTTGTCGCAATGCTCACACCTCGCTGCGACCTCCCTGTTGTGAACGAATCGCACATGCCTCTCCAAGATCTGCTTCCTCTTGAAGGCGGCGCCGCACGTGGCACACAGTGCGGCCTCTCCTCCTGGTGCGACAGTTTGTGAGCGTTCAACGCCGAGTTGCACGTGAACGTGGCACCACACACCTCGCACACGCAGTCTCGCTCGGCGCTGTGCGCGGACGCCAGGTGACAGCGCAGGATCGAGTTATAGATGAACCGCCGCGGACAGTGTGGACACGGGAAACGAGCCTCCACTGCGCCGTGACGCACCATGTGCTGCTGCATGGACGCCTTGGACGAGAACATAGCGGGCACTGGTCGCACGCGAACCGCTTGCCCTGGTGCTTATAGATGTGTACATTGAGCGCATTGCGGGTCTTAAACGAACTATTGCAGCCCTCCTCCGGGCAGGTGAAGCGTCCCGCGCCGGCTGAGTGCGTGAGCGAGTGTTTATTGTAGCGTTTCTGACCGAGAAACTCCTTACCGCAGACGGGACAGGTGATGGTTTTCAGACGCTCCGGGAAGTGCACGTAGCTGCGGTGAGTGGAGAGCGCCGGTTCCGTGCTGTAAACCTTGCCGCACAGCTCGCACGCCCACTTGTTAAAGTGGATACCCTGGTGTTGGCGCAGCGCAGGACGGGACGAGAAGCGCCGGTCACAGTGTGAGCACGCGTACGGCCGCGCGCCCGTGTGAGAGTTGATGTGGCCGTCGAGCGCGCGCCACGTGCGAAACTCCTTGCCACAGGTGGTACATTGTTTGCCGGGGACCCCGAGCGGCGGATGGAGGGGTCGTCAGCCGTGGTGCTGCCGGTCGCCTCGTCGTCCGAGGCAGGCACAGTCTGCGAGAAAAATGGGCCATTAGGGGTGAAATGCGTCGGTCACATAGGGTATGGTAAACCTGTGTCGACAAAAGGTCAATAACATTAACTGACGGGTTGATGCGGCGGTCATTCAGACTAAGAGGAGCACACTCTGTACTAATTCCATTTTAATTTCAAACCGACTTATCAGTATAACGTGTGTTCAGACACATTGAAAAGCTGCAAGCTATTATGAAAGAGCAAGGAGAGATCGGGCGTGCATCGGGATTAATAAGAACAATGATTGAGGACAACCAACCTCAGAGATTTCCTCCACCGTGTTCTCTTCTTTTTCACCGTGGGGAGGACGGCACATTTATCGTTTTTGGAGTCCAGCTCGTCATCTGAGAGCGGCGTTGGCCCCGTTCACTTTGTGACTGGTTAACTCCATATGAGGCCAACAGACTGGGACAAAGCACATCATGGCATTAACTTTTAATCAATAACGAGCTTTAGGGATTACAAATGACAGAAGAAAACAATGCAAAAGCAAACAAAAGAAAGAACATATGCTGAACACAGAGACAATTTTGCAATTTACACACCAGTATAACGCCTTTTGGGGCGACTAACGGAGCGAGCGAGAGGGTGAGCCTAGCACGTGCGAAATTTCGAGGGGTACCTCCAACTGACTTGTGCACGGCACCCTACTAACCGGTCTCTAGCGATGTGCCAAATTTGAGCACAATCGGCCCAGCCGTTCTCGAGATCTGGAAGTGGCACCTGCACGTGCGCACGTGCAAAATGGGTCCCAACTGACTTGTGCACGGCACCCACTACTAACTGTTCCGTAACCGTGTACCAAATTTGAGCGCAATCGGTCCAGCCGTTCTCGAGATCTGGAAACGACCCCTGCACGTGCGCACGTGCAGCAGCACCCCAACTCTGGCACATGGATATGCATTGCCTAGTGGGTGCCTACCTACATGCCAACTCTCAGCGCAATCGGCCCAGTAGTTACCGAGATATTGCAACAATTGCAAAGTGACACCTCTTCGTTTTGCACGTGGCAGTGCATAAGGGGTCACCCACATGCATCGGGAACAGTGCAATACTTGGTAAAAGGAATGAAGCTACCCTACAAAAATTACCGCATGTAAATCGGTCAAGTGGTTGCTGAGATATAAGCCTCGCAAAAGCGTGACCACGCCGGCCGGCCGGCCGGCCGGCCGCTCATACTCAGAATTTCCGTTAATCTAAGGAAAGACTACGCTCGCTTCGCTCGCTCCGTAATCAACCTTTATATAAAAAACTTTGAATATAATCTAAGCAAGTCGCAATACCTATGAACACGACGTTCATTTAGCTGGGCGAAGCTCGACTCAATTTGTACATTAAACTTTGTATCTAGATTCTAGCCTGACGTACAGCACCCGACACGGCACACTAACCTGTCTCTTCTGAGCGCCCTGCCGGTGGCGGCGCCAGAACAGCCGCTGCGCCGTCTCCAGCTCCCGGCGGTGGCCGTCGATGGCCCGCAGCAGCTCCACACACGCGCAGCACAGCCACGAGGGCGCGCTGTCGGCACCGAACAGGGCGGCTGCAGCGCGGCAGGCCGCCTCATCACCAGCAGACGCCTCGGCCACCTCTGCCGCGCACACCTCACACGCCGAGCCTTGTTCTGACATTGACATGGCATCTGAGACCCTCTCTGAAGCTGTCAGAACCTCTGACGGGTCATGTGGTGTGACAGACTGGAGGCTGGCCATTTCAAACAGCCGCAGGTGTTGTTGTCACAGGAGATGCACCCTGATGAGGCTAAGAGCTGCCTGGCTGTAACAGGGATGAGAAAAACATTATCCGCAGTCATGTCAGCCACTGCTGGCCTGGCCAGTGCTGTCAGTTACCTACTTATAACTCAGTTAAGTTAAGCCAGACCAGAAGGGGTCAAGAGGTTAGGTAGGCATTAAAATTATTTAAGATTGATAATTTAATTTGCTTCCAGATTTCTAATGAAGATTAGGGCATCATTCCTGACTTTTGTAATGAAACTCTAACTAATAACACAACAAAACTTCTAGATGTAAAAACTCCCTTCAAGTACACCAACCTGACATTTCAATTCAAACTTCAATTTGACCATGGTACCAGCCCAGGTACAGATTCTGGGTACCTATTAGATTAATTACCTACATCAGTACCAGGTCCAGAAAAGCAGTCTTGGATGCTGCAGGTTGCAGGGGAAGGGGTCATATGATCTTAAAAGATTTTACAAGTTCCCAAGACTCCTTAGATTCTAATCTTATGAGCTGCTGTACAAATTTACCAATTTTCCTTAATTTGAAATTAGCTGTTTAGTTTGTGTATTTTGTTCCCAAAACCTAAATTTTCTATATCAGGCACTTTCCTGATCAGGGAGATAATAGGCCCAAATGCTCCCTGGAGCAATCAGTGGATCCGTCAGTCACTTTCAGTACATGTGCATGCTAATATATCTATAGGTAACATTGCAACAGGTCATCAATGATCAAAATGTGTTGTTGATCTTCTTACTAGTGGTGCTAATCAAAACCGTGACCTTCAGAATTCTGATTTTGTCCAATATCAAATTCGGGGTTTGGAATTTGAACGAAGACAAGCAGGCTGCTTTGGACATTGGAAAATCACTTACTACACCTTAGTATTTTAAAAAGTAATCATGATTGCATTGCATTGGTAATAGCATTGATTGGTCAATAGAAAGCTTGGTCATCAATTAACACTTTTGGACTGGTAAAAGAACATTAAATGAAAATGAGTTTTGAGTCGTGTTAATCATTGTGTAGTTATCAAACAGCTTTGGACAAATGGCTGGTTTGGATTTTGGACACACAATTAACGAAAATGCTGGCCATTGACACAGGCATTTTATGAAACGGGTAGTTCAGGGCACTACTATAAACTATTCACAATTATTTCAAAATTAAAATGTCAGTTCAGTTGGGCTTGCTGGTATCGGACATCAGTATTGCTTTACACATCATCCGTTATTTTATATGTGGCTGAAAAAACTAAGGGGCAGCTTCAGGCTGAGAAATAAAGCATTTTCGTGCCATAATGGTAAAAGCACAGCAAAGCCCCATCGAGAGCGGTCAGCGGGGGGCACACAAACCTTCCACAAAACAATGCTCACAGGACACAGACAGGGTTGCCAGATCCAGAATGGTCCTTATCGCCAAATTCGCCCCTCGAATTTCGCCAAAATTCGCCAAGTAGGATGCACTGTATAAGCATACGTATAGTCTGTTCCATATCAAGTTTGCAGTCGGAGTTTCTTCGGCAGATCGCTCCTCCGCTCAAGAATTTGCGTCTTAAAATGTAAAAGAGCTATATATGTATACAGAAATCATGCACTGCTTCAACAGGGCACTTCGGCTGCAAGCTTGAAACGGAACAGAGTATAGCAGCGCAAGTTGGCGTAGGTGTAACCGTGTTCACGATTCGTTTCCAAGTTCACGATTTACCTATCTCGTTTCTCATATTCATTTACATAACATCTACATACATTCTCATATTCAATCAAGAAGATATTTTCATCAGGAACATTTTATATTTGAGTGCGTAATATGAAACGTTGGAAGGTTAAGTTAATCAGATTACGAAATATTTCGTAACGATGTTTTTTGCTTTGTTTTGTTCATTTTTTAAAATAATATTCGGTGATTTAGAGGTGAACTCTGGAAATTCGCCAATATTTGACGTTTTATCGCCTATCGCCAAACGCCGTGCTTCTATCGCCAATGACTTTCAAAATTCGCCAAATTGGCGACATATCGCCAAGTCTGGCAACCCTGGACACAGATGAATGAGACTTACGATGTGGGCATTAGAAGTTTGAGCAATTCAGGGAGGCAATTGAATTTATTTTCATGCCTATTTTGAGATAAAATAATTCAATTCAAATCGCCCATATTATACAAACGTAATCCGCAATCCGTGCTTAACTGCGCCAGAACTCGCCGCTGACGTTTGTTTACTAGATGTCCATAAAGTTAGCGTCGTATTCGTATTCGGATTCAAATTCGAGTAATGATTTCGCTCAAAATTGGCATACAGATAGCCCATGGCACGCTGAGTTCGAAAATGGTGACCTTTTTTTCCTAGGTCAAACCGTTTGACCTTGAGAGGTCAAAATACTGCGTACCCTGTAGAATCTTTGTTTATGGTCCGATTTGAAAAATTCGACCACCAGTGTGTTCGTCTCATCGAGAAGCAGTAGCACATTCAAAAAATCCGAGGTCAAGGTCATAGGTCAAGGTCAAGGTCACTTTAAAAATCGCCGTACCCTATAAAACCTTCATTTTTGGAGCTATCGGAAAATTTCGGCCACCACTGTGTTCGTCTCATCGAGAAGCAGTAGCACATTCGAAAAAATCCGAGGTCAAGGTCATAGGTCAAGGTCAAGGTCACTTTAAACGTTAATTTTAGTCCCCGTACCCTGTAGAATCTTTGTTTATGGTCCGATTTA